AGCAACATACTCTTAATTTGGATTTTTACTCTCATTTGCTGATCTCAAGGTATCTGATTGTCTATACAATAAATAGACCAGTTTTTTAAATAGAATGAACTAAATGGCCTATCTAAGACCCACCCCCACCCCCCACCCCTATTTAATGGCTCTATGCCATCGGTCCTCCGGATGAGTTCCCGTGTCGTAATTGCTGCTGGCACGAAGAAGACTGCCCCCCCCTCCCCCCTGTTGAATGGCTCTCTGCCATCGGATGAGGTCTATTGTCGCAGTTGGTGCTGGCACGAAAAAGACCCTCACCCGTTCAATGGCTCTCTACCATCGGATGAGGTCCCGTGTCGCAGTTGGTGTTGTCACGAAAAGGATCCCCACCCGTTCAATGGCTCTCTGCCATCTGTCTATCGGATGAGGTCCCGTGTCGAAGTAGGTGATGGCACGAAAAAGATTCCCCCTTGTTTAATGGCTCTCTGGGATCGGTCCTTCGGATGAGGTCTTGTGTCGCAGTAGGTGATGGCACGAAGAAGATGGAATCCTTCCTGCTGTTCGATGGCTCTTTAGGACTGGTCCTTCGGATTAGACTGTGCACGAAAAAGATTGGTTTCTCCTTGTTAAATGGTCAATGGCGCCAAGTAAAGGATTAAAGTTGCAGCTCTCTACGTACAAGTGGTGTCACCTACCTATATTTACATGTACGAGTTAAAAGTTCTCGAGAGGGACGCTTAACAACAATCAATTAATTAAAAATCTCTGATTCATTTCAATGTCCTAAATAGAATTTAAATTGCCCACTCATTCTCTCTCTCTGGATTTGTATTAATCTGAATAGTAGTATAATAAGGCGCTGTGTGACCCCCCCCCCCAAAAAAAAAAAAAAAAAAAACGAAACAGATTACTTCTAGAATGCCGATACATACATATTCGAATAGGCTTTTTTTTTTAAAGTGATAATAAATCTCAATTTAAACAATTTGTTTTTATTAAAATTTAAACTGTTATCATTGTTGAATAATTATTAAAATGCAAATAACACGTCTTACAAGAGTGGTAAAGTAATCGTTTTAAACTAAAAATACATTTCTATCGTACATCGGTAATTCTTGCTTCCCAGACAGTAATGTAAATTATATGCATATGACCTCGGATGTGAACTCATTCGGAAAAATTAATACGCATGCGTATAGTGCATAATATTGAAAGAGATGTCGGCGGCAGTGAAATTAAAACCAGGGCCCAAGCGTAAGCTGACGGACTCGGCCAGGAAACTCAAAAAGAAGGTGGCCAATGCCAAACAAAATAGAAATAGAATTTACATAGGCGATCAGTACGAAAGATGGACCCAACTGAAGGCCGATCTCCATCTCGGCAACAACGCCGAAGTTGCAAAGACGCTCCTTGACAGGTAGGTCAACAATAACTGCGAATATCTTGCTTATTTTCAAATGAATTTAGCCTATAGTCAATAAAACAATTAAAGTTTATAAATTCGTCAGTAATTGATGGCTTCATATACATTTTTCACTTCATTGCAACGACATAACCAACAAAATTATTTTGGGGGGCCCCTTGAGGGGGCACCCATGGACATATTAGAGACGTTTTTATCCTTCGTGAAACAAATGTTTTTTTTTACTTATTAACATTGTTGAATGCTACATTTAACTTATTCTAAATTCATAAGATGAACTAGCTGTATAATGTTAATTGTTTTTGTCTTAAAGCAAATATTGCAATTTTTTTAGGGGGGGGGGGGTCGTCTTATTTTATAGGCCTACTACTCATCAGTGTAAACAATTGATCAACCTACCTAGGAAGTAAATGACTTTAAAATATGTCAACTAAGTAGAGTTTAGTCAGGTTTGCTCTGGAATAATATGTCACATTATGTGGTTGAGAACGGATTTTTATCAGTACCTTCTCAGGGGCTGAAAGTCCCAATTCCCCATATTTACATGTAAATGGGTTCAATTATTTCCAATCTGGCAGTCTTTCTTCCCAATTGCAGAACAATGCTTTTTTTTTTTTTAAAATCATCTTGGAGAAAACACGAAGTAAGTTATGTTAGCTTGTCTGTATTTTTCCTCAATTTAACTCAATTAGCAAAGCTTCCGTCGTAACACATGTTGAACATCGCCAACTTTTAATCCGAATTTCCTCAGTTTTTTTCTAAAGTAGTAATATTGTGTAATTCTATAGGTTTATTGACTCATTTTCACTTGCTCAAATGATCTATTGAGTAACATGACCCGAATGAATTGTTCTGCGGTTCCGTGTCAAAACTCATTTTGGATACACATGACAGTCCTACCTACAAAGTCTACAAAACTAACTGCATGGTTAGAGGTCTCATGATATTCTTTTTATATATATTTTCTATGGAGGTTAGCAAGCAGGAATATGTAAAGATATTTAATTAATTTAATTGTCGAAAGCCGTATCATGATAAATGAATCGAATGACCATATATTGTACATGTAATATATATATAATATTGCATGTATATACATGTACTATATGGCTGGCGGTACTCAGGCTTTAAGTATTGATCTGTCTTTCAGCCTGTTAAGATTTGTTATGTAAATTAACTTATACTATAATTAAGCATATATAAGCAGACATTATTTGACAAAATGAATATGATCTATGATCTTATAATTTAGAAATTACTTGAGCACCTTCTTGAATTTATAGTAGCTAGTATAAAATATTTTTCATGTATAACTAAATTTAATATGAATTAAGTGTCTTAGAAAATGAAAAATAATTTTTCAGGTACTTTGCAACCCAACCACCAATTAAATATCAGGTTGAAGAAATTCAAAGAACTCCAGTGATTGCAGTGCAAGCTGGTCTCTCAACACCAGAGGTTAAATATGTGCAGACTTCAACACCTGGACCTTTCTATACAACTCCCGTTCATCAGTTTGCTTGCCCTGTCTCAGATATTTCTTCTGAATTCAGCACTAGGTAACCCTTCTGTCAAAAAACTTAAGTGTCTCATTGCAAATTTATTATTGTACCCTTGAATCCACTTTTAATTCTTGTTACTTTTTTTTTATTGAAAAGAATTAAGTTGTAGATATTAAATTATTGTTGTATTAATTACCCTTAGCCAGTGGACCCTTAATGACAATTCAGACTCTTGACATATTTTGGATCATGTTCATTAATAGGTTATAGGAAAACATTTATTTTAAAGCACAGTATAATAAATATAGGATCTCCCATGATTTGTAGTTGGATATGATTTTTATCCAACGAGTTGTGTGATTTTTATCCCCGAGCCTTGGCGAGGGGATAAAAACACACAACGAGTTGGATAAAAATCATATACAACTACAAAACATGGGAGATTCTTTTTATCCCATGTTTAATACTTCACAACCGATGTTTAACACTGTTTTATGTAGGACTCTGCTATATTTTACTTCCTCACGCTGACGTAAAAACCATTGTGATGTCATTACTGTGGGATATGAAAACGATATCCCATGAGCTATATCCACGGGATAAAGGTGTAAACATGGGATAAAATTTTATATATATATATATATTGTTATATATATTCCAAATTTCAAAAAATTCAATCAGATTTTTTTTTTTATCAAATTGCATTTTTTAAAAACAGGGATGAGGAGTTATCTGGAGTGGAAGCATTGCCAACAAAGAGGCGGAAACTTCAGAAGACAGCACTGTCAAACAGTTTTCTTTATAGTTCACAGTAAGGAGGCCAAGCTTAAAAAATTCTTTGTTTGCAGTTGCCGACCTATAAATTTTAGACTGGGTCGGTACGTAGGCATTCTATTTTTTGGGAAGGGGGGGGGGGAACCCAGATTTTTGTTAGATAACAATTAAAAGAGGTTTTCATGCACCTACTAGACATGCATAATCTCACCTCTTGTTATAAACTACTGAATGATAAAAAAGTGTCAAAATTTGAAAACGAAACTGTTTCAATATTCTGAAAAATTGAAGAAAAAAAATCAAATTTCTGAATGGCTAAAAAAAAGTTTGGGTCGGGTGCATATTCAGTGGGTCGGTCGGCAACTGCAAACAAACTTAATTTTATTTTAGGCCGGATAAAAATATGTGTTATAATTATCAATAATACTGTTAAAAGTAATAAACTCCAATAATGCTGATATGAATATTAATTGTAAAATTTTTAAATCAAAGTTTTATGAATATGAAGTCATTTTAAATAAATTACAAGAGGGAAAACGAGTACCCGGTAATGACTGATTTTTTTAGCTGATTAGAGAAGTAATTTAAAATTGCACACATGTTGTAGATTGTCTATAATTGACATCACTGATGATCATGAGGATGATGATTCTGATGATTCTGATTATGAGCCAAGCTTCAATATAAGTTTGAGGTACTGTAGTTTTTTCTGTCATACTAATTTAAGAAAAAATGAAAATTTCATTCAAAAACTGCAAGTTATGAACTCTGTGATACTGGCTTTCAATTTAAGATTGCTAATGAAAGTAAAATGAACTTGATTTAAAAAAAAAACAATTTGCAATTCTTGTTAAAAAAAAAAAAAAAAAAAAAAAGCTGAGTTTTGACACCTGCTAACATACTTTTTAGCTCACCTGAGCCGAAGGCTCAAGTGAGCTTTTCTGATCACATTTTGTCCGGCGTCCGTCTGTCTGTTAACTTTCACATTTTCGATTTCTTCTCGAGAACCGCTGGGCCAATTTCAACCAAACTTGCCACAAAGCATCCTTGGGTGAAGGGGATTCAAGTTTGTTAAAATGAAGGGCCACACCCTCATTCAAGGGGAGATAATTGGCAATTAATGAAAATTTGGTGGCATGTTTTAAAAATCTTTTTCTCAAGAACCACTGTGCCAGGAAAGATGAAACTTATGGGGAATCATCCTCAGGTAGTGTAGATTCACGTTTGTTCCAATCAATACCCCCGGGGGTAGGGCGGGGCCAAAATGGCCGACCAGAGTTTTACATAGAAATATATAGGAAAATTCTTTAAAAATCATCTTCTCAAAGATAGAAAATTCATGATTGTTCATGGGACTACTTGTGGATTTTACCTTTTCAATAATAAACCTATTTATACTTTAACCAAGCCACAGTGCTCAGGTGAGCAATGTGGCCCATGGGCCTCTTGTTTTTTTTTTTTTTTTTTGGGGGGGGGGTGTGTTATGTATAGGAATCGATATCAGTAAATATACAGTTTTTTACAATGGATGGCTCTTCAGGCTGTCAATATATTTTTTTCGGAGAGCTACAGTTTTGCAGCTACAATCTATGCACATAAAACATTTTCGGAAGTTCTATTGCAAATTATTTATTAATGATACAGGTTTATAAATGTTCATACTCCCTATTCTTAAAATAGTTGATTACAATTTTTCAACAAAATTTTTTGATGTATCAAATTTGCAGCTCATATTGCTTTAAATATATTATGATCAATTGTAAAATTTCATGTACATCAGTTTCTTTAAAAACATTTTTCTTTAATGCAGACCCAACAGTGCCAACTTCACCTCACTTGGAATAGAAGATAATTCTGATGAAGAAGAAGACAGTGACAATGAAGTCGACGATGACATTTGTCAGCCAAGTACTGATTCTCAAGACATGGTAAAGATTACCAAAGCAGAAGACATTACATCAGATCAGCCATTTTTGGTGTACAACCAGTGTCTGATGAAGCTTGCAGCAGTCAACATCCCAAAAACCTGTACAGCAAAAAACTGTGGAGCAGAGGTCTCTGTCACCAGGAATATCATTGGATCAGCACTACATTTGAAATGGGTAAATGATGAGTGTATTCTAGATTATTGTGCGTAAGAAAGAACTAGCTGGGAGACATATCAGAAAAAAAAATTCAAATTTCTAAAAAGACAATATTTTACAAACTGTAATTTATCTTGATGCTGAGAGTTAAGTTTGTATTCTTTGGCTTCATGTCTGATGCAATATTATTACTGTTTACTTACATTTACTAATTAACAGGTTTGCGGGCATAAGCATGAATTGTATGAGTGGTGCTCCCAACCCATTTTAAACAGAAGGATGCACAGTGGGGACTTGATGCTTGCCTCAGCCATTTTGCTCTCTGGAAATAACTTCAAGAAGATTGAATTGATGTGTAAATTTTTAAATTTTCCAATTATGAGTAACACCACCTTCCATAAAATACAGAGGACGTATCTTATTCCATCGGTTGATGAGTTTTGGGCTGAGAATCAATTGGATACCATCAACCAATTCCTTGGTGAAGATTTGGTCATCCTTGGTAAGTATTTAAAAAAATAGGGAAATGTATTTTGAGCCATACTCAAAATGCGGGAACCCATAAAAATCTCATTGATCATTAATCCATCTAACCTGCCACCTTTTTGTCAGCATGCAATTTTGTGGACAAGATATTGAGTTTAGATGCTTTCATGGGTTTATACAAGATAATTACTTATGATACAGGTCAACTACCGGTAATTTAAAAGATGTGTCAAATAATATTTAAATCCACTGAATATTTCTTTATTTCTTAAGAAATCCAAAGCTTATGATCAGTTCTTTACCAACACTAGACATCATCTGTACATATTTCTCGATCAATGACTGTTCCATCAAATCTATCAATCAAATGTACTATTTCATACATTGCATAATTTATTTTAAATAACCTACTTACACATAATTAATTTCATTGCAGGAGATGGAAGAATGGACAGCCCCGGACATTCTGCACAGTTCTGTTCCTATACCTTTATGGAGTATAGTACGAAAAAAATTCTATGTGTGGTCACCATGGACAAAAGAATAACAGAACTCAAGAGCACAAATTTAGAGGAAGCTTGTTTCATAAAGGGTCTTAATTTCTTGCTTGACAGTGGTTTGAAAATCGTCGAGGTGGTCACAGATGCCCATAATCAAATTGCTGCAGTGATGAGTAAGTTTTGCTACAAATTTAATTGCATTTCTCACCAATTTTACGGTTTCTATACAGATTTTAATTGATTTTCTTTTTTTTCAGAAAAAGACTACAAGCACATTCGCCACTCATTCGACATATGGCACGGTACCAAGAACTTAGGAAAGAAAATAATGTCGGCAAGTATAAATATTATTCACCTAGGTTTTCAGTTATGTACCGGTATAAACTCTGAGTAAAACCTATGATACATCTCATATACATATCGGCCTTTTATTGAATATATAATACTATAAAGACAGTAGACTAATATTTAGAAAAGCTTCAAAAGTGTGATACAAAACAAGCCCTCATTTAAAATGTGTATTTTTTTTATTATATTGTGCAGGTTGGACAAGAGACTGATAAGAAGGAACTACTGAATTGGACAAAAGATATAATGAATCACTTTTGGTATTCTGCTCAGATCAGTGAAACATATGAGGAATTTATTGTAAGAAAAAATAATAGGCATCAATGCAAATCTTCAATTATCAATGATATAAATGTTCCACATATACATATTTATATTTTTACTCCAAGGGTGTCTGGTTTGGGCTTCTTCACCATGTGACGGATGAACATGAGTGGATACTGGCATATGGACCCAGTGCATCAAGCTCTTGTAGTCATGGTCCACTAACAGAGGAGAGAACGAAAGGATGGCTTCAGAAGGGCTCACCAGCACATGTTGCTTTGCGTTACATTGTTATGGACAAGAGAAGGCTCAACCAAGTTCACTATTACTTGAATTGCAGGTATTAAAATCAGTATCTACAGTTAAACTCAGCTATAACGAGTTCCTGGGGACCTGTGAATTTAATTCGCTTTATCCGCAATTCGTTATATTCTTATGTCAAATTTGTATAACAAATACATTTACTTCCAAATATGTTAGGGAAGCAATTATTACATAAAATACTTTGAATAACTAAAAAGGTTTTCAATGAATTGAATTTTAAATTGAACTACTTTCTGAAATAAAGTCATTGAGATGTTTGAAAATTCATTACAACATTTGAACATTGCAATCACTGTATTTAACCGCTATGGCCGGACTCAAAATCTGTTTGCTATATCTGTAAATTCATTAAATCAGAGTTCATTATAACCATTTTACAAAAATCCTTGCTAAATCCGTGAAAAATACAACTTAGCTAGAAATATACTTTTTTGGATTCAAATCAGTGTAGAATCAAATTATGACAACAGGGGATAGGATGGTGCTGCAAAAAGCAATCAAAAATTTTTTCATAAGAATGTATAGGGGAAATCTCTTGAAGTCCTCTCAGAACAGCAGAACCATTCAATTAAATTGATAATTCAAATATTATGAAATTATCATCAGATTCCACAGACAAAAGATATTTAATGCCCCCTCATATTTGAAAAAGCAGTGGAAAACAATTGGAATAAGAATAGTATCTGTCATGCTATTGGCAAAAATCTTGTGATTTTTGATGATGTAAATACAAAGCTGTTCACCTTTTTTTTAGAATTATAGCAGAGTTGGAAAACTTCCAAAATTTGATTTTGGTGTATGCCTCCAAAAGACATTCCTATAGTCCCCCAACATACAGGGCAAGGAATTATCTTGCAGCTCTTGACCACAATGGTCACTGTGAGAGGGAAGCAAAGAAAAACAAGGATGGTTCTATAAGGTAACTGTTTTAACTCAACTGAGCTGCAGGCTCAAGTGAGCTTTTCTGATCACATTTTGTCGATTGTCCTTCCGTCCATTTGTCTGTCTGAAAAAACTTTTCACATTGTCAACATCTAAAGAACCACTGGTTCAATTTTGACCAAACTTGGTACAAAGCATCCTTGAGTGAAGGGAAATTTAAATATTTAAATGAAGGACCAAGTTCCCTCACAAGGGGAGATAATCAGGAAAAGACAAATATAGGGTGAGGTCATTAAAAAAAATCTTCTATAGAAACATTGGTCGCCCGCGTGGCACAGTGGTTAGAGTGGTAGTGTAGATTCTAAACTATTCAAATCACTACCACTCTGGGTAGGGCGGGGCCAGAATAGGGAAGTCAAGTTTTACATAGAAATATCATAGGAAAAATCTATAAAAACTTTTGTCATGGGAATAATGGGCCAGAAAAGCTGAAATGTATGCGAAAGCATAGTAGTGTCGATTGGGGTAGTGACGCTTTTTAATTGTCCTAATTTTGACCCCTGTGGGTAGGATGGGGTCATAAAAAGTATTACAAAGGATAAATATGGTAAAGAACTACAAGATCAAAGCTATTCAGGTGAGCAATGTGGCTCAAGGGCCTCTTCTTGCAATATGTATTTGAATTCTTAAATTTCACTAAATATACCAGTTTCTTGCAAGAATTATAAATATAAGATACATGGTTATTGTCTTGAAATATTTATAAGCGATATTTGGGCAAGGTTAGGAAAACTTGTTAGAGGAAAAGGCTTGTTGAGCTGTCCATTACATTTTCAACCCCAGCCAAAATATAGCTTATATTTCGAGAAAATGACCATGTATTTTGTTTATCCTCAGGGTTTCAGATTGAAATAAGTGACTATAAGACATGTGGCATATTTACCAGAAAAGTTATAGGCCATTCTGTCCTAAACTTCCCAAAATTATAGGCCAATAGAAAAGTTAAATATTGAAACAGAATGGGAATTGTTTTATTTTACATTTCAGTCAATGGATATTTTTCTGATATTAGTCCCACCTTTCATTACATGTACGTGTTTTTATGTTTCTTGGGATTGCAAGTTTTAAAAATAGTTATCCAGATAGAAGTTTTGTATTTCTGATTATATGTATAATTACGTTTACAGATTGCCTAGCTAGCCTTTTCCTTTGTACAGTAAAACCTTGCAATATTTCCCATTTCCTGCGATTAGTTCGACCCCATATTCAATCATGGCGGTGAAAGTATCAACATGGCATGGATTCCTTTGATGTTTTAAACATTCATCACTACTTTTATGCTCTTCGCACAAGAATTTGGAAATAAAATTAGAGTATTTTTTGTCAGGATCTAATACCCAAATACATATGGCTGATTGAATCTGCAGTTGCAGAAAGTTGTATAAGAAACAATCAGATCTGAATGGGGGGAAAACTATACGACTGGCCTTTACATACAGAAAATAATCGGCCATTATGTCTGTTCAATTTTAAACTTATAGGCCATTTTGGCAGGTAAATTTCATTTTTTCCTGCCATTTTGAATTTTTATAGGTGAATGGCCGATGGCCGACGCCAATCTGTTCGAAACCCTGTATCCTGCAAAATATATTTACATCTCTCTTCCAAAATAAACTACTTTCAACTCAGTTTTAACATATCATTGCAGAGGAAACTAAAACGCCATTGCGTAAACATAACAATATACATGACGTCACAATCTTGATTCCAGAGTGTCTGAATACATGCATGAGGCTTTATTAGGACATTGACCGAATAAAGCTCTATTTATTAGGTTACCTTTATTAGATCAATGCAAGGGTCAATTAATTTCCCTATTTAATCCTTGTAGGCTAAGTTTACAATGTTATTTATTTATTTTCCTCATAGGTATCAAAGATCCTTCAATAAAAAAAGCGGCGTCTGGTCTGTACACGAAGTGAAAGCTGAAAAAAACTACCCCTACATTCCGGCTTTGATTCATAAAATAATCACAAAGAGATTGGAAGATGCTGTTGGAATGTCTCAAAATGTTGTTTTATCAGCAGATGATCCTCGAAGAATTTCCAAGACCTTGGCACCGATTCCTCCACCTACAACTCGTGAACTTGTTCTGAAACGGAAATCTAGATTTGTTGATCAATCCAAATAAGTCTCTAGATTGTTCTTAGGACTAGTTAGATCCATTAGGCTTTTGACTTTCATGGAGAACAAGAAGTTTTAATTTTGAGCAGTTATGCTTACTAGTAGTACTTGTTATAGTTATATACTCTGATTTGAATAAACCCTCTTATCTTGACATTGAATTCATGCAAAAATTAAATCCCACTATCTGACTTGCCAACAGAAAATTTCAAGCATCTGCAATATTGTGTTGAGAAAACTCCCATTAAAAAATGTTCATTCATACGCACGGACACACAGACAGACACACAAGTAAAGACAGTCTACTCCCTTCCCTTCTCAGTGGGGTATAATAAAAGTTCATAAATATGAATTTACAGGATTGTTAATCATTTTCTAGCGAGTTATTGTCATTCTTCAATATTCTTTGACTACATGTAATACATATAATTGAAGTGTACACTGTACATACTGTAAAAAGGTCATTCTAAATGTGCTTTGCATTTACTGGCAAGGTATTTTTGATCAATAAAATATGTTATATGTGCATTGTATATAAATAACAATACTGTATGGTAAATTTCATGACAGTAATGCAACTGTACTAAGGATTGCAAACATTTGGTATATAATTATATTTTTTATATTCAGTTCTGTTGTTGTATTTCAAAAGTAATCCTTCACACCAATGTTTACATTATTTATGTCAGACAGTTATCATCTACCATCTTAAATTCTTTCACTTGATTGTTGCTATATTACTAAATGTACTTGTATGTGTTTTCTAACAAAAACAAAAAGTTTAAATTGTTAATTTTTTTATATTATCTCTATGTCATAACCAGAAATAAACAAAAGCTCAATTCTTTACAATAAATTCATTGAATTTAATTATTTATCCAAGTCTGCCAGGTACATAACCTCTATACTGTCCAAAAGCATTCGGATATTTGTCTCTGGTTTTCCAAACGCAACAGCTTGGGATAGGTCTGCGGTTCCCAGCTCCTAGATGTCCATGCTGCCACAAAGTATACTGTCTGTACCCAGCATGACGATTGGCTCTGTTGTAGTCATCATTATCTTGAATGGCAAATACTTCTTGTCTGTATGTCCGTGCAACGTGTAAAATTAGTTCATCAAGAACTACGATATCAAAGTCCTGAAAGAGGGAAAGAGAATTTGGAATTGTACATACTACATATATTAGTCGGAATGAAATCTAAATCATCAGGCTTGTCTGTCAAAGTCATGTTTAATTAAGATCTTCGACCTTTTAAGTGCATGTTTTTGGGAAAAAAAAACCAACAAAGTTTTCTTTTTGTATACAAATGGCCCATCTTTTTTTCTGTGTTCTGTTGCATTTTTCAGGAGGGGGGGGGGGTGTTAGATTTATTTTAATTATATAGCACATTATGTCATGAAATTCACAAGTCAAATTATAATGCATGTATAAGACAGCTACAGATTTAATATTTATTGCTGCTAAAACTTACTTCAAAAAGTGTCTATAAGAAAAGATTATAAAGATTGACTGCAAGTTTAAATACGATACAATTCTATATCCCTGGAAAAAAGTATAAGGAAAAAAAATTAAAGAGAAAGGTTAATTGATTTGAATGTTTTGGTCATGCAGATTACATTAAACAGATATTTTTTTTATTGTAAACCCACTTAGCCCAGTACATGTTTTGGATCATCACAATATAAAATCAGACCTAAAGTATTAAAAAAAAATTTATATTTAGCAAATTGGAATAGGGTAATTACTATCGTAACTTTGCTGGAGAATTCAAGAAAACAAAAGGTAACGTTTGGGGTAAAACTTACTCTGAGTCTTGAGAAACAGTTCTGCTCTGTTTGGTTACAACAGACACGTTCTACTTGTGTGGGCATTTCCCTGCAATGAGAACAGCTACACCAGTCAGGCTGCCCTTGCATGTGAGCAGGGGGTGGATGGTGTTCACCCCTTTCGGCCTTGCTACACTCCTCCAGGACACCAAAAACCAAACTTGGATTCCTCTGGCAGAGTTGGTAGACCAGATCTCTCAAGTTATTTTCTGGCATATTATGAATGCGTTCCTGAGAAACAGACATTGAAACATGATACATCCACTTCTGCAAACATTGATCTGTTACACATAATTTATAAACATAATTCTAACACTAAATTAATGACATATTTCTACTTGAAAGTGTATATATTGAAAATATTTGACTTGACATACTTGTAACTGAGTATTTCTTGCAGCAACCACATCTCTCCTATCTACTGTAGTTTGCCTTCTGCCGCGTCGAACACCCTGCCCCCTGCCCCTGGCACGACCAGATCTCACTCTGCCTCTGGCATGACGGACACCTCCTCTTGCAGAAACCCCTCTTGCCAATCTTCCACTTCTAACAGGTGGAAGCTCATCAGAGCTTGAATCAGTATCATGACCCTAGGAAAACAAAACTTTCTGATTACACATGCACAACTAGGCCTAGGCTAAATTAGCCTAATTTTCCCCCTTAAACATGAGCAGTTGACCATGCGCTTGGTTAGATGGTGAAGACATACAAAAAAAAGAAGAGAACTTTTTCAATTAGCCTTCAGCATATATTTTATTTAGTATTATGTAATATAGTAAAAAAAAAAAATAGTGATCATCAGTGAGTCAGAGAGTGCAATCGATCCCTTGGGTTGAAATTTTGGCGGCTGCAATGTCCCTGCGCCGCGGCCAGCGATCGCACAAGACAAGTGACAGTGCACTCTCTCCATTTTAAATTAGCGGTAAATTAAAAATAAAACACAATGGCAAATATAAATATATCACACTCAAAAACTTGCTGAAGATTTTTCGGATCTGATATGCGGTTCTCGCGGTAAGTCAAGTAACTTTTAATCTTAATTTTACGTATTATTCGTGGTTATAATTTGACCTATTAGAATTAATTATTTACTTATAGTTTTAAGATAATAAAAATACACACAGATATAAACTCTGAAGGGATTTTCCGAAGGAAGCATATTACATACTTTACATCAAATAACGTAGTCTCGTAACCCCCCTTCGTGGGCCCCAATGCACATATTCTTTTAGTTATGAAGCTTTCGCTTTATAAACTTAATTTTCATGAATTGCAGAGCGGTTATATATTTATTTTCATGAATTTTTGTACATTTAGAATAACATTTCATTAATAATGCTTATGATATGCTCAAAGTATACTTACAACTTGCCCGCTGGAATCCATCTTGCCTTCCACTTCGGGTATCTTCGGACTCCGAAGCGCTTTCGTCATCAATGACGATTGCGACGTCAGACTCCGTGGCGAAAGATAATTAGCTAGCTGTCATCATAGTTTTTAAAGAAGTATTCTTACTCATGTGATCCATTACGCACTAGAAATTCATTAGTTTATTGTTTTAAATAGTTTTGTAAATAATAAGATGGTTTTGGGGGATATTAAAATATGCTTAAATTGAGATTTATTATCACTTTAAACAAAAGCTAAAATTTCATTTTCGGTAGCGGGTGTTCTGCACACCTATCGTCATTATTTACAAGATGTGCAGAACAAATATACGAATTTTTTGTGTAGTTTCAATCTTTTTACGAATTAATCTAGCCTGCTGCAGCCATATTTTCTTCTCTGTATCTCTAGGATTTTTTTTTTTGGATACTGATGACATGTCCATTTGAAATTCCTGCATATACAGCAGTAGTTCGTCTTCCGCGACCTATATCAAGAAACTGCGTTTTTTCTCGATTGTATGTCATAACCACAGGCCTTTAGATCGCTTAGAAAAAAAATTGAAGTGTTGAAAAAAAAATAAAGGTATGGAACTCTTTTCATGGGGTACCTACTTTCGCCAATAAAATTCTTTTAAATCAAATGCTTTACAATTTTACTTTCTATCCATATCTATTCAAATATAAACAATCTTCATTACTACCAAATTTCAATCCGTAATTCCCTATACTTCTCGAGATATTCTGAAATCAATTCCCAAATTGCCAATAATTTTTTTACTCGACATCAGCTTGGGCCTTCACTAATTGTAAAGCGGGAACGACGAGACAAATTTTCCCCGGAATTTATTCTAAACTCAATGAATATTTGCTCATTTGCATTCAAGCTTTACAAGGTTTTTCTTTAATTTGATCTTATGGTGTAACGAAATCATAAACAACATTCTAGCGGTCTAATTGTTTTGAAAATCGAAATGTATATAATGCATTCCGGGAAAAATTCGTTCTACCATGACTTCATTTACTTTCGTAATCAACATGGCAGTAGTTGTTGATGTAGACGTTTTCAAATTAATTTTTTGCGAAAGGAATATTATTACGGACTTAACGTTACAATCTGGAGTAAGAAATCAACTTTAAATTGTTGAAAGATTTTGCAAATACTCTGCAACCCTTCGCCGCACTTCAAACACCGTCTGTTTACATGTGAATGATCAGGGGCCCAAGCTAATGTCGAGTAAAAGAAAGTAGGCCATTTTTGAAATTGATTTCAGAATATCTCAAGAAATATAAGGAATTTCGGAATGAACTTTGGTAGAATTGAAGAATGTTTATCTATGAATAGATTTAAATAGAAAGTAGAATTTTAGAGCGTTGAAATAAAAAAAATATTTTATTAGCGAATTAGGTACCCAGTGTAAGAGTTCAGTACCTTTATTTTTTTTACACACACAATTTTTTTAAGCGATCCAAAGGCCTGTGGTCATAACAGATAAGGAAGAAATACTGGTGGAATATTTTTTCTACACATCCGCTGAACCAGGTATTACATTTTTGACGATTTATTTAACTAAGCGGACTTGACTCGGTATATTGAACATTGTCACTTTTGAAAGCTTTTTGATCTAGAAAAACTAGAACCAGAAGTCTCTGACGAGACTGTAGCTTTACTGATTTGGAGATGTAACATATTAAGAGAATAGTATCAGTTAGGACTTGAAGTTTTACTACAGCAATAAACAGAAAATGATCCATGATTAGGTCTCTTTTTGTAAAAATATTGCATTAAGTATATAACTGTAGATTAAGCTATAATTAATTAAATTTTACTGAATTTTTTAATCATCATACATCAAAATGAGAATAAAAACTCTAACGACAATTGTTGCGCTCAGTTTAGTCTATTTGTCACGTTATATTACATATACAAGAAAACATTGATATAGCCATCAATTGTTGCCCCGGGAGAAAGAATTGAATCAATGAGTATAAAACACTGACTGTGTAACTTAGTTTTTATGCAATCAAAGCCTGAACTCATCAAGGAATAATCACTGTATATGAGCAGAAAAAACTCCATTTCCCTTGCCATAAATTTTTGTTATCCAAGGAATTAATTGGGGAAATATGTCTCTAAAACTGTTTGAAAAAGTTTAAAGCCCTAGTTCGGAAAACAGTATAATTTCATTATTAAGGGTTTCTGCAAAAATAACATTTTATTTCACAAACAAATTGTTCGTGAAGGTCAAGAGTTTCATTTTCAATTTTATTGCAATATTTTACTTGCTCAAAAGCCAATCTTAAAATGTCATATATAGGTATCCCTACCCTAATTTTGTAAAACAATAAATTAAATTTTGTCTTCAGAACGTGAAAAATGCATAAAATGAATGCTTAGTAATCAGATTAAATCAATTTCTACTTTGAAATGATATTGAATGGATTATTCCGGATATTTAAAGTTTTCAATCCGAATAGACGGATACCTATTCAGGTATGTTCAGTCATGCGGTTCAAAAAAACCGGTTTCGATAGAGTAGTGTGTTAAAGCCAGTATAGGGTGACACGTTGAGCTGTTAACAGGTTGGGTTATGAATCTAACTTGTATCTATGTATTGTATTTAAATAATATGTGTATTATTAATACCTTTAAGCTGCCGTGTGTCGTTGCTTCTATTATAATGGTGTTGTATTATTTGGTATAGGGAGGAATGGGTTTTAATGGAGAATGACGACCAATATTGTAATAATTATGTACGACATGGTATTATATAAGCGTGTTCGAAAAGTTTCTTTGAAAGTTATGTGGTTATATAGGGTATAAATAGTAAGGCCATGGGGTAGCACGGCACTTTTGTTCGCTTGCTACGATTTTGAGATAATTGTGGTTGATTGTGGTGCAGTGACGTGGGGCTATACATTTATATTGTTATGAATTGTTAGGAGTTAGTAGATTGATATAATTGAATAACAGCACTAGCAAAAGACATTCCTATTTACTTGTGCTGTGACGGGGAGGGTCTGTAGTTACACTGCCATTTTAGCTCTATTGGTTAGAGACCAGAAGAGCTTATATGCAATAGGTATGCGTCCGTCCATCTGTCTGTCTAAACAATTTTTCAAAATGCTACTCCTCCTACAGTTTTGGTCCGATTTCAATATAACTTGGCACATGGTAAACTATACTAAGATACAAAACTCTGTATATCGTTTTTTTTAATTTCGATAAAGGGTATTGTCATGGTTACTAAAAATAGAAATTTCTTTGAAATGCTTTCAAAATGCTCCTGTGGTCTTGATCCAATTTCAATTAGACTTGGCACACATGTAGACTACACTAAGATACATAATTCTTCGCGTCAGTGGTGTCTGATTTCCATGAACGGTGTTGCCATGGTTACTAAAAATAGAATATTTTCTGTAAAATTCTTTCAAAACAATGCTCTTCCTACAGTTTTTGTCAGATTTCAATATAACTTGGCACAAAAGTAGACTATACTAAGAAACATAATTCTCTGCATCATTTTAGATAAGAATGGACGTTGTTCCTGTAGTTACTAAAAATAGAAATTTCTGTGAAATAGTTTAAAAATGCTATTTCATTACAAATACAGTTTAAGTTTGTATATAATACAACGTGCCATACAGATAGACTATACTTAGATTCATTATTGTATTATTGTTTTTAGATCTACTGGTCAGAAACCAGAAAAGCTCATGTTATAGTATAGTGTCCGTCGTCCGTCCGTCTGTCTGTCTCTCTGTAAGCTATTTTTCAAATGCTATTCTCCTGAAATTTTGGTCTGATTTCAATATAACTTGGCACACAAGTAAACTACACTAAGATACATAATTTAGTGCATCGATTTTTGATTTCGATGAATGGTGTTGCCATGATTACTAAAAAAAAATTTCTGTGAGGTTTCTTTAAAAGGCTACTCCTCCTACTGTTTAGACCCCATTTCAATTTAACTTGATACACAAGTAGAATAGACTAAGATACATAACTAAGGTCATCCTTTGTTGCTATGCTAATTCAAAATAAAAATTTCTGTAAAATTCCTTTAAAACGAACTCCGTCAATTTTGTTGTGATTTCAATATAATTTGGCACAAAAGTAAACTTCACTAAGGTAGATAATTCTGCTTATCTGACACAAAGTTATATTTGAAAAATAAATTATTCTATTTATTTCTGCCTGTTGAAAAGTCAAATCCAAGTTCTACTTTCCATATACATGAACAGACTAGTAGAGCTACATTTGTATCAGAGACTTCTGGTTTCTAGACTATTGAAGGGTACCAATGCCATGTCTTATTCGCAATTCATATGATTCATTCCTTAAGTTAGCGGAATCTCCTTAAAAACACGATAAACAGAATTCTTAATTTTTTTTTTAGTCTGGTGTGGGCGAATTTAAAACGGGGCGAATTCAAAGTAAACTGTATAATATAATAAACAAAAATCCTTTTGGGCGAATTAAAAACGGGGCAAACTTGTTTTCAGATGTGAAAGGGCGAAAATAACCCTGTATACAGTATTAGATGTTATGGCTTTTATTAGAGATTGTTCTATCTGACGTATCCGTATCCGTATACGTATACGTATCCGTATCCGTATCGAGATATGAAAGGCATCTCGATCCCGATGTCTCAACCATTTAATACAATTTCCGTTTCTGTTTGTGGTTAAATAAGCCACAGTCATGCATTGGAAAATAGCAAATGGCAATTTTTCTATTGAAAATACTAAACTGCTGTAAACCTCTATCATTTTGTAGAAAAATATTTATTAAAAAAAAGAAAACGAATAAATAAATTCAAGTCTAAAATATTTCATTTTAATTATTTTGTTTTAGAATTAAATTCATTTTGTTTCAAAGTATTTGTAGGAAATCTCCTTTCTCTTTTTTCCTCTCGCTTAATATCAGGATATTTTATTGATATATTCAGAATTTGTCATATACCTTTACACGGTATAACGGTATACCCCCCTCCCCCCCCCCCCCCCCTCACACACACTGAAATACAAAATATGTTATCATCAACGCGATTGATAAAACACTGTATCCGTTTTTAAAGAGACAATTCAAACTGATTTCATAATTCGCTTCAGGACCGTTACAAGTATTGAGTATATGCATTGAAGAGCCTGTTCAACTCCCTCCTTTCCCCTCCCCTCACATTGGCGTCAGAAGCAAATTGAAAGTACGGAGGGGGGGCTAATTGAAAGAGTAAAATATAAG